TCAGCTGTAGGGAGCACTTTCAGTAGGCTCCTTGGTTCTTCGACATGCTCCATCATTCGGGGTGTTGTTTTTGTTTTAAGGCATTTCTTCACTAGACACTGTAAGAGGTTCTCGGCTGTCTTGCACATTTCCTGTCTCAGACCTACAATCAGCTGTCTTCCATGAATGCTCATCCCTTCTGTTGGAGTGTAGTCTTAAAGACCAAGACCTGAGTACCAAGTGGCCAGCGTCATTACAGTGTCAGTGTCTACACCCTCATCTGAGCAGCAGAGCGAGGGCTGCTGCAGGCTGCTCCCCGTCTCCCCGTTTTATATCCCTTCCTCAGGCTCTATGCAGGGCCTCACGGGTGCAGATGTGGTGTGCGCTGCTTCCTGGTGCTGCACGGTGGCTCGAGGCGGGCACACGCACGCAGGCCTTGAGTGAGCGAGCACACCACTGCTGTCGCGTCCGTCCATGGAGCCTCGTAGTCAAAGGCCATGAAGTCCAGCCCCAGGGACAACAGCTGAGTGAAAAGGGGTTTTCTGTGCATAGTGAACTCTGCGGCCTGGAAGCAAGAGGGAGCTCCGTAGAGGAAGAGGCTGCTAACGGCAGAAAGCAGTGCAGGGCAAGGACTAGGAGATGGGCTTACCTGTTGAGACTGAGCTTTTGTGCCCCGCTGGGGTGGGATTTGCGTAGGACTTACACATCCTCTGCTCCACATCTCGGAAGTCTGTTTTCCGTCCTCTCCATCCACAGGGAGTGCACATCGTAGTGGGATCTGTGTGCCTGTGGAGGGAGGTGCGCAGCCGGGGGCCAGGCTGGGGGGCTGGTCCTCAGCTCGGAGCCTCCTAGGGTGGGCTGGGGCTGACGTGGGAGCAAAGGCCGTGGCAAGGAGTGCCCCACTTCTGGGGCTTCCGCAGTATGTACCATGACTTGGGGCAGGGCAGCGGCTGCTAGGGGAAGGGACAACCCCGAGCCTTTGACATGTTCTTCTGGGACACAGTGGCAGGAATCACCACCAAAGGCCTTGTCTGCAGGCTTCCTTTTTGTGATTCTGCCACTTGTCACACTGGAATCTCTGCAAAGGAGGAACTTGAGAATAGTGCCTGACTCTGAAGAGAGGAACCAGTGTGAAGATGAAGCTGTCCACGTGGGAGCATGGTGTCTTCACCCCAAGTCCTGCGCTGCGGAGTCACCATTGGATAGGCCGGTGGGGCGTGCTGTTTGGGATGAAGAGCCTGCCGCTGACCTGGTTAGCTCTTGAGGCCTCTGGAGGTGCCTGTCGTCTGCTTCTGTCCGACCCCTTGCCAGTCCTCATGGAGATGCCTTCCTCTGTCCTGCTGTTTGAAACTAGGACTTCACATCTCCTTGCCCTCAGATTACCCCCCACTGCCTGTGGCCAAGCTGTGCCCTCCCCTGGGACTGGCCTCGGCCAGAGGGTGGGAGAGGGTGTAACTGCATTGGGCCAACTCACAGCTGGGGCTCATTCGGTGCGTCTGTTGGCCCTAACAGATTGTGAGAGATCTGTTTTCCAGAATTATTTTATAACATGTGAACTCTTTCTGCTTAGAAAACAAAACATGTCCAAAAGAAAACAAGAATTTTAATGATAGCTTCTTAATTAAAAAATTATGGGAGGGTGGGAAATGAAAAGAGGTTACATTTCTTTGTTTTGTTTTTTGTTTTGTATTTTAAGGAAGGGTCTACAGGGTTCAGGGTCTCACTACTAGATCGGACTCATAGCGATCCGCCTGTTTACAGCCTCCCAAGTGCTGGGATTACAGGCGTGCACCACCACACCCAGTCTCAATTGCCATCTTAGTGCACCCCAGGGGCAGGGTCAGCATGGCAGGCCCAGGGATCAAACCCCCCACCCCTGTGCCTGCTTGCAGGCACTTTAATCTGTTGAGCTATTTGGCCTACATTTCTTTGTTGATAGAGGAAGACACATCAAAATCCAAACTGAGTCAGACAGTAGTGGGAACAGTAAGTTCTAGTTGTATCTAATTGTAGGAGAGAACTAGTTAACCAAAACCAAGTTGCATTTCCAGCAGTGGTGAGTGAGCCTTGTGCGCTTCGGAGGGGAGGATTTGCACAGGTTGGGTGCAGCAGTCGGGTGCCTGGATTTTCTGAGTTGGGCGTAAGATTCTGTTTTCAGCATATGCCTGTCCCGGAAGTGTGCTGCTCTCTGACTCGGTGGCACAGTAACACTCAGGCCAGGAAGGTCTCATGAATAGCCTGGGGACCTAGCAGGGCAGGGGCTGGGGACACTGAGTAAATCAGTGTCCTTGAGTCCTGGTGCTGTTCCAGTAGCTGTTCTCTTTGCAGCATTGCCACATGAGTGTGTACACACACACACACACACACACACAGAGTGGAGGTCTAGGTTTGCAACCCCAGCCAAGAAGGAGCTGCGCGTTCCACTCGATGAGAAGGTTGCAAGTTGATAACCTGATGGCAGGCGCAGAGTGAGCCTGTCCTCTGAGTAGGTGTGAAAACTGAAAAGGATCAGCAAGCCCAGCGCAGTTAATATTTAAGCAGGCGGCCCTGGGCAGCCCAAACAAAGGCCCCCGTGTCACACCCCTGGGCAGGGCGCATCTTCCCCACATCACAGAGGAGCAGGCAGGGGGGCCTCGGGAGAGCCCCCCCAGGTACACACTGGTTGGGGGCAGGATTGGACCTGTGCTGTCTTTTAACTATTGGGAATTTCATGTTCAAGGTAGTCCCTAAAATCAGGGAAGAGTGACTAGTTCTTGTGTGGTTTGCTTTTAAAAGTTGCCATCAAATTACGTATGAGTGGCCAGGAGCAGCTGCCAGAGATGTCCCTACTGCAGCGTCTCGTGTTGCAGGCGTTGGCCCCACTGCCACACTGCTCCGGGAGGGCCCGTGCATCAGGCCCTCTGTCACTTATTCCTGTTTTACCCATGGAGTCTGCCCGCCCTCAGCTGGCCTGGAGATCTCGGAGGGCTGTGAAGACGGGGATCTGGACATCCCCGGCCCTTCCAGGAAGACTGTTTGCTGTGGTGGTGAGAGCGCATGCCATCAGGGGCCAACTTGGAGTGGGTACACAAGGGGCCTGGGCATGGTGCATGACTGGACCTTCTGGCGTCAGTTTGCCATCGATCAGAGACCCTGGCAGGAAATAGAGCCCAGGTGGGCTTCTGTCAGTATAACAGCAGCTGTAAGTTTGTTAAGTCCTGGCTTTGGGCTCTGGGTGTTGAGGATTCCCGTTTTGTAGACAAGGGGTCTGCTCCTGGCAGGGATCCAGGATACAGGCCATTCCTGCAGCTCCTGCCAGCAGGGTTGAACTGCCTTGAGCCAGTTTCTCTGGTCTCTCCCTGATGGTATGGGGCGATGGCTTTGTGCTGGAACTCCAGCGTGGGGATGCCTCCAGCCCCAACCACTCCTATCAGGTGCCCATGGTTGACTGGCATTATGGCTGATGTCTGGATGTCCCCAGGAGCCTCCTGCACTCACATAGGCCTGGCTTTGGAGGGTGTTAGCATTACAGGGCTGTGAGCTGGCCTGCAGTTGGGAGGTGGGGCCCGGTGGGGCAGCGGTTGATTTCTGTGACAGAAAGTGCAAGCTCCAATAGTCCCGCTCCTCCTTTAGTTGGGGAGTTGGGTATTTTGGCCTGAGGTAAGAAGGTGACTAGCACAATTGGTATCTTCACATTCCTGGCTTTCTCCTCAGCCAGATTCTGAGAATGCTATCTGCTGCCCTTGGGGCTGGCCAGCACATGGCGGCCTCCAGGTGTGTTGGTGACCGTGTTCTCTCCCAGGCCTGGTCACCCTGACCAGCTGTTCATCAAGAAGGTTGAGTGCCTTTCTCCTGGGTGTTGATGTTCTCTCCCAGGCCTGGTCACCCTGACCAGCTGTTCATCAAGAAGGTTGAGTGCCTTTCTCCTGGGTGTTGACTGTGACCCTTTTGGCTTCCTCAGGTGAGCAGCCTGGAGTGAAATGAGCCCCCCCCCCCCATATGGAGATTGGCTGTTTGAGGGAGATTTGCTCGGGGCTGTGTGACTTACCTGCCTATCCAGCTGCTTATTGCTCTGTGATCACACCCCTCTCCTGGTGGCAAATTGTCCTCACATTTTACAAATACTTGCTACATAGAATTTACATCTGGGTACTGTTACTTTAACAAAAATAATGTACAATGTATTTAAAAGCATGTCAGACTTGTGCTGGGAGAAGTTTCCTCATGATGTATATAGTTTCTATTTTGCTGGTTGCTGCCCTCTTTAACATGGAATATTAGACTGAAAAGAATGATGCATGCCCTATTTGGGTGACCAAGAATAAAGAATTAAAGAAAAATTTTATTGACATCCTCCTCTGGAATGGCAGTGGTAGGAGCTCTGGGAATCCACTCAGTGGAACAGTAGTAACTAGAGAAAATTATTTTAAGAAAACTGCATTAAAATATCTGGGATGTTTCTTCCCAGATAAGAAAAGAGAAGAAACACCTGTTCATGAAAATCTACGAACTGTCAGCAAAGACAGCAGGAGTTTGTAGCATTTGAGGTGTCACCCACTTCTCCCAGCCCAAGTCTGCTACCCAGTGTAGAATGATAAAAGCAATCCCCTTGAGGAAACAGGTTGGGAGGGCAGGGTGGTGGGATCTCTCACCCCCATCCTCGGGCTCCAGGGCGCAGAGGTGAGGTTGTGTCCAGCCCTAACCTTATGGTCAGTGCTTTAGCCTAGGCTGAGAGTTCGGGGCCTTCTTGCCATCTGGCATCCGGCTTGCTTGAAGTCAAGCTGGGAAGACCTAAGCGCTCCCACCAGGCACCCTACTGAAGTGAAAGAGCCACTCAGAGAAGCAGGCCACTCTCCCTGCCCCCACCTCCAGTGCAGCAGCCTCGAGATTCCTGTCAAGTAGGAGATGTAGGCTGCAAAAAGAGAGCACTCTGAAGCTCTGCCCAGAGGTACTGACCGTGTAGGAAGAGCCTTTGGGAGAGAGGGAGGAGAAGGAAGGAGAAATGAAAGCATGCCCAGGCTTCAATGCAGAAGCAAGTGGGGAAAAAAGGAGTGAATGGAGAGCCTTTTTTAAAAGGAAGTAAATGACCAGAGAAAGTGTTGCAGGTGAGAAAACAGTGCTACTGAAGGTAATCATGGAATTACGGAAGATGTTATAAGTTTATCATTCTTTTGTTGTTAAACTGAATTGAAAAAGCAGTTTTATAAAATAATATATGCAGGATTATATTGTATACAGGCCCAGTACACGTAGAGGGCGATATACTTGCCTGTCCTAGTAGAAAGGAGGCAGATGGGAGCAGAGCCGTGGCAGAGCAGAGTGCTGCTGGACGGTAACGCACAGCCTCAGGGAAAGGGAAGGGAAGCGGGCTTGGTGCCACCGCAGGCTGCTACTGCGTCACGGACTGCAACTTCAGCCTTGCTCGCTTCTCTTTGCTTCTTTACAGACAAAATTACATAAAGTAGTAAATCTGATGGTGGAACAGTTTGCAGTGCATTTAGGCAGTGATAGAAGAAAACGCCAGCGGGAGTGGAACTGCTGAGAGGCGTACAGGAGGGTGCGTGAAGGGGTGGGAGTTGTGCTACGAAGTGTCCACATAGTGCAGAGGAAAGCGTTACCTGGAGCACGGAGAAGTGGGAGGACAGAGCAGGCTGCGTCCTTGTCCTCACAGAGAAGCGGGAGGACAGAGCAGGCTGCGGCCTTGTCCTCCTCAAGGGGTTGAAAGTTCACTGTCTTTTAGTTCTACATGAAATTCCATCAGGCCTGCAGCTCTGCTTCTAAAGGCATGTGTTCAGTGTTGTACTTGGGACACCTGCCGGGGCCGTAAAGACAAAGGGAACTGCTGGGCCTTGAGGGAGACCCTTGGGGCCAGGAGTTTGCAGTCTGGGCCAGGAGCCCCGTTCTGCTGCTGTTTGCTTGCAAGCTGGAGCGTTCCTCCTTTCCCTCTCTTGACACTGGGTTCCGGCATTACCTGGGGCACTTAGGCAGATAGTGACCGCGCAGCACTTGACAGAGCCATGCTTCCTCTCCAACCCTTGCAGTCAGACATGAGCGGGGGAGAAGAGGAATTGTTTCTCTGTGTCCTCCGTGGGCCTGTACCCTGCGAGCAGAGGCGGTGCTGCTCTGGACCTCAGTCTCTGTGGGCAGCGTGCACCAGCTCTGCTGATGGACTTGTGCCGTGGCCGTGCTTTGGCGTGAGGCGTGTTGTTACGAATGCTGACACCCTGTCCCCAGCGTGACTGTGCCTGGAGTCAGCATCTGTACAGAGGCAGAGGTAGAATGGAGCGCTGAGCCAATGGGCCCGGTGTCCTTTGGAGGAGAGGAACACGGGAGCAGAGCATGGAGGACACAGCCAGAGGTGCTGTCTGCTGGCGGGGAGAGAGCTCTTTCTCAGCAGCAGCAGGATCCCGAGGAGATGAGTGTCTGTGGTTTGGGCCCCCATGCCGTGGCATTATGGCGGACTGAGCACCATGACGCATGTCATCTGTGAAGTCTGTGTTCATGCACAGTACCCTCAAGCGTTCGAGTGCCAGTGAGCATTATAGAGGGGGAGGCGTGAAAGACAGTTACAAATGCAGTGCTGTTTGGGAGAGGTTTTTCCGTCCCCTTCGCAGACCAGCCTGGGCACAGAGGCCCCTGTCGCCCTGCTGTGGGATCTGGCCGGTGCACACGGCAGCGCATGGGCAGAGGGTCACATGCTGGCGAGACCCCAGAAATGCCGGATTCACTTGGAGTGTGAGTCTCTCCTGATCCCCCTCTCGCACCCCAGACAGTCATGTGAGGTCAGGGGGACTTTCCCAGCTGCCCAGCACTTGGTCTGCGTAGCCCTTTCCTTGGGTGGAGGATCTCATCTGGTGTTGCTCCTTTAAAAGCTACAGGGTACTATATTTATTTGACTTTATTTGAAATTCACAGGATTTCTGAGCATTGTGCTGTGTAATCTGGTGAATGCAGAGCTTTAGAATTTATGCCTTAAAAGGCTGAACTACTGACATGTTTAGAGGCCTTTGTGTGTGTGTGTGTGTGTGTGTGTGTGTGTGTGTGTGTGTGTGTGTAACCAGGGATTGAACTCTGGCCCTTGCGCTTGCTAGGTAAGTGCTTATTCTACTGAGCCATCTCCCTGGTCCCTTAGAGGCTTTTATATGCCTCATTTCTCCCCTTTCTGAACCAACTAGGGTAAAGCAGCTTAAAAAACCTTTTGGAATTAGTGTCAGAAAGTCTTTTTCTTTTAGTTAAAAAACATTATATATTTTATTATTTATTTTTTAAAAGAAACACTTGTGTGTTAGGTTCACAGCAAAACTGAGCGAAAAATAGAGTTCCATAGCCATCACACAGTGTCTTTGCTCGCGCTCTCATGAACTGCAAGGACACAGGAGAAGATCCCTCGTGTAGGAAAGCAGGGGTCTGCTAAGCTTGCTGGCCTTCCCAGGGCTGCAGAGGAGTGATGCCTCCTGAGGGGCTGCATTCGGGGACTGCAGCATTCATGCCCGCTCTGGGCGAGGGCAGCGTGGCAGCCAGGGTCCTTCTATTACTTGTTGTGTGCGCATGGCTGGGGACAAGATGTCCTGTTCTCTGAGAGCGGTGTCCTCCCTGAGACGAGGGGCAAGAATTTCCCTGTGCTGGGCAGGCTTTGTGGTGAGAAGCCCGTGACAACACAGGGTAAGCACAGTTGGTGTTGTATCAGGCCCTGCGCCAGCGTGGCCGAGTATATCAGGGAGGGAGGGGAGGTGTGCGGAGAAGGGAGCCACATCTGCTGGGGGGCACTGAGTGCAGTTTGTGATTTGCCTGAGACGAGGTGGTTGAGTTAATCCCTGGAGCAGGCCAGGAGCCCAGCAGCTCTGACTTGGTGCCATCTGTGCCTCTCACATTCCTCTGCCCCTCTCTTGGGCCGATGAAGCAGGGACTGAGCTACCGAGCTGAGCAGTGCTGTCAGGCTGCAGCTTCGCTGCTGTCGCAGGCTTTGCACCTGTGCGTGTGTCTCTGACTCGTCTGTGACCTCAGTTACTGTCACCCATCAATGCAGGCCCTCCCACGCAGTGGCCCGGATTGTGAATATGCTCACAGCTGTCCTGCAGGTGTGCAGCTGCCCCAAAGGTCTAGCTGTCACTAGGCCCCACTTGCGGGCTGTTAGTGGAGGGTGTTAGGCAGCAGCTGCCTTCTCCTGGGCCGGCTGAGTTCCATCTGATGGAGGCCTGCCACCCTGCCCTCTTCGGTGTCCTGGCCTCTAGGAAGACCTGGAGGTTGGTAAGGAGGAAGGAAGCTGGAGGGGCTTGGGAGATGGCCTCTACATGCTGGCTTCCAGTTTGAAGCTTTTTTACAATTCCTTGCTGTGGGAGATGGAATCAGTTCTAAAAAATAAAACTTGAAGGCACATTTTCCCTGACTGACAAGAATTTTTATTAAAAAAATGTAAAAGTACAAGTAGATGTTTTAATTAGCCTTCATGTCACTGCTGTTGATGGTGGTAATTTTACTTTTGATATGTGACGGAGACGCTTTGTGGGGGGCCTTTGTTCTCTGTTGCTTTTTTCCATTTCAAACTCAGCTGCATTATTTCTCTTTTCTCCAAAACAACAACAACAAAATAGTAATAGTAATAGTAATAATAATAATGGTGAAAGTACCTTTTGGCGTCAGATTACATAGTATCCAAACTTGTTCATATTCTCTTTGGAAACAAAAGTTTGATCATCCCAGGCATCTTTGTGGAACAGGACCAAGGTGGAAGATCTGGCGACTTTCTTTTTTTTTTTTTTTTTTTTTTTTTGGTGGAACCGGGGATGGAACTCAGGTCCTTGCGCTTGCCAGGCAAGCACTTATTCTACTGAGCCATCTCCCCGGCCCCCTGGCCACTTTCTTAAGAAATGTCAGTGCTGTGGTGCTTGGGATGAGGTCGTCTAGGAATCCTAGCTCAAGGGCGAAGGATGGCCCATGGTAAGGCTTGGGCTGATAGACCTGAAATTGCTTGGCTGTTGAATTACCAGGTGGTTGTAGTTTAGTTGTCACTGGGTTTTGCGTGTGTTTTGTTATGTTACTGGGTTTTGCATTTGCAGAGTCAGTGTGTCTTTCAGAGCTGGTAGGTCCCCTGAGTCTAGGATTAGTTGTACTGGTGCCAAACTGAGTTTTTCCGCCCTGGAGCTCTTGTGGGATGAAGAGCTGCCCTGTGTGTGTTGATTGTGAATCGGCCTGTCCAGTCCTTGGTGGGTGCCTTCCGGGCCTGGCCTTTCAGGCCTGAGCTGGGGCTGCCACTCTTTACCCCTGTAGTGACAGGTGATGCCCACCACAATCCTTGTGGGCAGAATCCTCCCAATTTGTACCGAGTGAGCCGGACGTTTGTCCTGAAAGCCCTGTAGGAGTGTTCTACAAGGGCACCAGCACCTTTCATGTGTATTTACACAGTGGTCTGTTTGAGTATCACTAGACCTAGAGCGCTCCTTGTCGCCTGCAAGCTGGTGCCCAGCTCTAGGGTCTGAAGTTAAAAGCTCCCCAGAACCCAGCCTGTCCAGTCCCCTTCTCATCACTTAAAGCACTGGGGTTTTTATTCTTTTTCTTATTCTTTTTTAATGTATTTGGTTGTTGCAGGATATCACTACATAGCTCAAACTCGTGGTGATCCTCCTGCTTTCAGCTTCCCAGTGCTGTGATTATAGGTGTGCACCACTGTGCCTGGACTGTGGCTGGCTCAGCTGGCCCTGTGGGTGGGGCTGGTGCAGCATGTAATGCCAGGGATCCAACCGCGGTCCCTGCGCTTGCCTAAGCAGTCACTTAGTCTGCTGAGCTGTCTCGCTAGCCCCAGCGCTGGGTGTTTCTAGCCTCTTAGTTCATGCTTTCCCCCGAGTGCTTCTGTGCCTGCTGAAGTTCGATTTGTCTGCGTCCCCTTAGATCCTCGCCCGCCAGGTTTCAGGCTCCTTCCTCACCTCCTTAGCAGCCCTGGGCGGTATTTCATTTGCTCTTGGTTTTTGTCTTATGAGAATGTTTTACTTCACCACTGGGTCCTGGAGGCAGGGATCACCTCTGACTCAACTGTGTATCCCCCACCCCATAAGTGCCTGGCTTGGCACCAGTTGAATAAGTGAACAGATCCAGATTTTGGGCTCCCATGGACTCCCCGTTGAAGTGTGTTTC